AGAACTTCACCTTAAAATCTGCTTCCGGTTCTTTTGTACCGAAAACTATAGAGGACTGGAACAAATTACCTTGTACTGTTGTTCATCAGAATACGCTAAGCGCATTTTCAACTGTATTAAAACAACATCTTTTTACTGTCTAAATTTTTTGCTATGTGTGTGTGGGTGTGTGAGATTTTATTTCTGGTGTTACATTCAAACAAGCTCTAGCTTTCTTGTAATTTCCTTGTGTTCTTTACAAAAAAATTAATTAATTCATTCATTCATTGGTCCATCTGTTCAAATCTGATCGTCATCGCTTAAGGTAAAATTCAATCCATTTGCCAGATTAGACCAAGATTTTGAGGGATGAGTATAGCTACCACGGCATTGCTCATGTTTCGATCTTGCTGTTAACATCTTGTCAAGTGGCAAGTACTATTCAATGATTCGAAAATCATAAACTAAGGGTGTGGTGGGTGTGAATCTAAGCAAACCATGACGCGTTTCGACTGTTGCTCAGGCAGTCTCATCAGATGGTTTCGACTTTATATAGGTAATCATTCGGGTCCGAAGATCACAAATAGATTACATATACAAATCTGCAGTTTTTGGGGACATGTAGTCCTTATAGCAGATATCCGTATAATTGGAGTGAGTCTAAGCAAACCATGACGCGTTTCGACTGTTGCTCAGGTAATCTCATCAAATGGTTTCGACTATAGTATCGGCGTCGAAGAGGGGTGGGTGAGTTCAAGCAGACTACGACGCGTTTCGACTGAGGCTTAGACAGTCTCATCAGGTAGTTTCGACTGTAATATAGATTAGTTATTCAGATAAAGTATATTAGTATTATAGAGTAATATTCAAAGCATCACACGACGTTTCGGCTCATATTGTAGACTCATTAGATTTAGTATGACGGATCTAGAATGTTTGAATGGTTTTGGAATTGATTGTCTTTTTATGGATGGTTTTGAATATTTATCTAAAATCGATTGAAAGAGAATTAAGTAGAAGTTTGAAATATTTTGTGACAGTGTTTGTAGAACATATATCTTTTTGTGTTTTTATTGAAATAAAAAGCGTTATGTGATTGTTATATATTCCATGTGATCGAACGATATGTTCGAAAAACTATTCTGTTTGATTATTGTTTATCTTTTTGCTTCTTCAATGTCAATCTATGTCTTGGAGGCTTCTTTCGAATTAAGTAATTTGTTAATTTACGATTGATTTTTGATTTGAGTCTAACTGTTTTATTTTTGACTGCAGACTCCGGATATCGATAATGCTTTTTCCACCAGGAATAAAATTTATGAGAGAAGGAGGCAATAGGGCCACTTTCATAGATGTATCGCAGGTTTATCACTGTTCGATCCCATGTTTTTTTTTCTAATACTGGTGGATATTTGACAGGATTTTTCGCCTTGTCATTCAATTGCTTTTCGTTTAGTGCTATTTGGTTGATTAGTTTTTGATGTAAACGTTGATAAGTATCTGCATTTAGTTCTGCCAATACAGACATTGCATTATTGACTTGAAAAAATCGAAGAAATTGTTTTGAGATAATTTTCGGTGGATATTGACCTAATAGTAATGAAACATCAATACGAGTACGTTCTAAATTGAAATCATGTACATTTGAACATAAACGTGCAGCACGTATTAAAGCATTGTATGGTATATTTCTATGATATTTATGTGAATGATCTGATGTATATGGTAAATAATACGGATCAGCTGTTGGCTTATGATACACGCATGTTCGTAAATGTCCATGTTCATTGCTGATAGTAACGTCGAGATAGTTAACTGTTATGTCAACTGTACATTCAATTTCTATATTAATATCTTTGTTTTTGACTTTGTCTAATACTTTTTAAATATCTTGTAATGATTGACTGGTTATCACAAATAAATCATTGATATATCTAAAAGATGAAAGAAGAAAGAGTGGATTTGTAAGAATATTGTGTTTTGATCTAACAAACCGGCCATAGATTTCTCCATGCTTAGCTTGATGTTGAATTAAATGTTCTTCCCATTCGAGCATATAGATGCTGGCTAAAACTTGTGTAAATGCTGAACTCATTCCACCACCATGAATTTGTTGATAATATTTATCTTTGTATGCAAAACAATTTGTATCTAATACTAAGCGAGCCATTCGTAGTATGGTATCTATGGATAATGGACCAATTTTAGCGTTGATGGAATGTTCCTGTGAGGGGGTGAATAGAATATAGATAAGCGATTCCATGACAAACGCTTGTTTCGATCTTGCTTAAGGATCTCTTCAGATGGATTAATGATATTATATCTCCATTAAGTAATTCTCAATAAAGGACATTTGAATTACTTTTTTGATACAATAATCAGTGTTCAAGGAACATTTGCACATATTTATATATACGATGATATATAGGGATAGAATTAACTTTGTACAGAAATCTATACATGTCAATATCTATTTATCAAACATTTCTAGACACAGCGGGGTAAGTAGAATATGGATAAGGGATGAGACAAGCTGCCACAATACAATTAGAAGGATTTCACTTTTGCGATAATAAGATTATCAGGTGGCATATACTAAGTATATGAAGATCAATTCATTACGAACTAATCTACTACAAGGTATAGATTTAGAGAATAACTACTGGAAAGCAGTATTTCTAAATACCTTGACGGGTGAGACAAGCTACCACAATACAATCAGAAGTATTTCATTTTTGCGATAAATAATTTTTCAACATTATGGTTTTATTTTTGAAATGGTTTATATCTATAATAAATATTATATGAATGTAAATAATTATTTGGATTGTCAATGTTGTTGTGCATATTGATTCATATATTGTTGAGAAAGAGCCTTCACTTGATGTTCGACATTGCACTGAACGCGTTGAACCATATTGATTTGGCGATTTTCTATTGGATCAATGATAGTATCAACAGTGGGTGATTTTTTGAACTTTTCACGATTGTTTAATATTTTTTTTTATGATCATTGACTTTTTGTACATATTGTTGAGCAATCGCTTCAGCAGTGGAGATGCTTTGTTGTGTTATAGTTTCGATAAGTTTTTCGATGGAGCATGTTTCATCGTTGATGCATGTTAATGTTGATGATAATTGGCTATCATAAATAAGATGTGTGATGATATCATTAATGTTTTTCAAAGCAAGATCTTGAAATGAACAGGTTTGTGATCAATTTGCACTGTAAAACCAATGTTTAAACATAGCAATCTCATATTGAAGTACTTGTTCATCATAAATTGCTTTCCAAATATTTTTTGCTGAATGAATCTAAATATATGAAAGATGATATATGTGGTATGAATTTGAATGATTTATACGAGCTTCTGTTTGTCTTGGTTTTAGTTGATAAAATGTCTCGACCAGACGATGATCTTTCGCATCGAATGTAAGTATATGTTTTCGTCGTTCAAACTCCACACGTAATTGATACTGATCTTTATTAACAATCTTATTGGCTATAGTCATGGGTTGAATTGGATCAACAGTTGATGGTGCTTGTTGTAGATGTTCCTGAAGTTTACTTGTAATGTCCTCCAGATGTTGTTTGAAGTACTTTCGACGTTGTTCAAATAAGTTTTTTCAAAAACAATGACATATATAGAATCGTCATCTGTTGGGCTATCTAGCCGTAAGAAAATTTTCGTCGGACAAAGTTAAATTTCGGGGAACGCACGAAGATCTTTCCATGGAACTCATCTAAAAAAAAGACGTCCTCATAAAAATGCAATCGCTAAACTCCGCTGAGCACCTATCGATATGAAAAATAGCTCAAAATGTTCGCCTCAACCTCCTCTACATATACTGATCTCACAAAGTCTCCCAGCTCTAGGAGTGCTGAGTTACAGGCTTTCCAAAAAGCCTGGGGATTTTCGGGTATTTCGCAGTTTTCTCCCTCAGAAAAGCACTTTTTCTTGAAAGTAAGGTCATATTCGGGATCAGCATGAAAAACTGCATCGAATGGTGCACAAGTCATCTAGTTTCGGTCTCTCGATTTTGAATTCTAGAAATTTCTTAGTTTTTGAGATACAGACAATTTCGTGCTGAAAATGTGAATTTCAAGATAAAGTAATCTGAACGACTTGAAACATGCTTCTTATAGGTTTTCGACAATGCTCTGTCCAGTGGCATCGTTTTTAAATATTGAGAAAGCTTTCTGAAGGGTTTTCAGAGATCGGATCTCTGAAAAACTCCTTAGAAAACTTTTTCAAAACTCAACTCTCATGCCATTAGAAAGAGGATCATGAGAAACCTATAAGAAAATGGTTCATGAAATTTTAGTTCACTCATAAAGCTAAAGTCCGCCTGCTGTAGCAAAAAATGCCCACTGTGTGGCTCGCATGTATAGAGAGAAAACTTGAAATTACTCACTGTTACGGAATTTCAAAAAATGGAAGTGATTCTCGAATGTTTTCAGTATAACAAAAACTGCTCCAAATGTAAATGTGCTATGAACAAATTCCTCACGACGAAGTTGTAGGTAAATATGAGAGCTATTTGAATATCTATTTGCTTTTTTTTTGTTCTCACTGTCAAGTGATGAAAGGAGTCGTTACGGAATTTCATCTTTTTTTCGTTGTGTTTATTGTAGAAGCTTTTTCTTTTATATTTCTGTAGATGCGTGCATAAAATAAACTGCTGGGTGGTTTGTTTCGATTACTGATCATATCCATTTATGACGTTAACATAAAAAAAGCACCATTTAATCACCAGTGAAATTATCTTGTATTTTTCGAGAAATAAAACGTAATGATTCCGCATGGGATAAACACGCTTAAAAATAGAATATTCGACTCTTAGTACTATTTGAATAATGACGTATTGCTGTTTTATCCGTATCTAGTACAGTTAGTGAGTGAACTTTTTGAATAGCAGGTACTGATTTAACATGAGCAAATAGAGATGTCAGAGCTTATAACAATACTGTTTCTTATTTTTCACTTACGAGGGAGTTCCCCAACT